TATATATATATATATATATATAGCCTTATAGTCCTACTTTTAAGAATTTTATCATCAAATTCATAAGAGATAATTAGGCAAACTATAATTATCCTTATTTTGGAAAGAACTTGTCCCAAATGTAACTCATTTGGTAGTATTACCTTACCTGAACTATATTATTCAAAAGTGGACTATAAAAGGATATTGGAAAATCGGGTATCTCGGTGATTAGGCATGAAAACGATAACACATTTCACAAAAGAAGAAATACAAATGGCTAGTTGATATATGAAAAGGTCCTCAATAGCATCAGCAATCAGGGAAGTGCAAGTTAAAACCACAATGATAAGTATACACCCCCACCAAGCTGGCAAAGCTGCAAAGGACTGACTATACCAAATGTGGTTGAGGGTGTGGAGCCATGAGGCTCATACACAGTGGGCGTGAGTGTAACACTTTAGAAAACAGCGCGGCATGATTTGTTCAAATTTATAATACACATAACCCCTCCCAGGTATACACCATACAGAAACTCACATAGATGTGATGGAATACATACATGAGGAATATTTACAGCAGCATTTATAACAGTTCCAAACTGGAACAACCTAGATATCCATCAACAATAGAATGCCTAATAAATGACGGTATATTGCTACAATAGAACACTTTAATATGCAACAATTAAAATGAATAAATTACAGTTATAGGAACAACATATGGATTAAAAATGATGTTGAGCGAAGCCGTAAGCACAACAGGTTACATATTATTTTGTTCCAAGAAAGGGCAAAACCAAACAATATACTGTTTAGGGATGCATGCATGCTTGTGATAAAACAATAGAGAAAAGCAAGGAAATGGTTATCACAAAAGTTAGAATAATGGTTACCTCTAAAAGGGAGGGAAAGAGTTGTGTTCAGGAAGGTCACTGGGGGACTTCTGGGGTGCTGGCAGTGTTCTAGTTCTTGACCTGGTTGGTTACATGGAGGTTTCTTTTACAATTACTCATTACAACTGAATACAACTTTAATGCAAATGTCACAATAAAACCGCTACAAGTAACTGAATATTGTAGATGGAATTTCTAGAAAGAAATTTTGCTAGAAAATTTAGCTTATGAAATCTTTGACAGCAAAAGCTACTGATGTGGGATAATAAAACTGATAAAATAGTTTCTCAGACGAGCTCACTTTCAAGTGTAGCAGAGAAGAGCCTTATACAAATATCCCATTGTTATATTTTAACATAGTATGCAGATCTTTATCATACAAACTGATGTACCAGGCAAAGAACGCTATTACCTAAAACTTCGTATTTTTTTGGAATTGCGAATGAACCAGCTGTTTTCTCCTCTGGATTAATAAGAAGTAAAAGAACTAAAGAGATGCAGACCAAGTTGGAAATGTATGAACTTCCTTCTCTGCCGTCACCAGTTCCAGCTGTTTCCTCCAGTTACCATACTGGGTGAAGTGGGTGGATCTTGCCTAGTAGGCTAGTGCAGCTGTAACTTCATCAGTAGGTGGCTGAGTGCCATTCTGCCTCTCAGCACCAAAATTCTCTGGTGGAGCCACTGACAACGAAAACAGATCAGGCTGCTGAAAAGCTCCATGTGGTTACACACTTTTCTGGAGGTGTCCTCTGCTGGGTTGCAGAGCTCTGATGTTTGCATTCTTTTCATCCAAAGCTCTCAGAACTTAAAATCTGAGGTGCTTGGCTTTACAAAATCCCCTCATTCCGTATATTTTATTCTTGCCATTTTCATCAAAAAATTAGGAAGAGGAGCAAAATCCAAAAAGATTTACTTTGTAGCCATGTGGGGCCATCACTTGCTGGTTTGATTTCCTGTGAGTCTTATTTGGAAGGACCTGGCAAGGACTGGTCACGAGAAGAGAGTCGAATCCAGGGTAGCTGAAAAGTAGGAGAGTTAACCTGGTTCTTAGAACTTTGGATGAAGGGCAGCTGGGCAGACGCTACTTTTTGAGTCTCTTCTTGCTTTGGCAATATCCATCTCCCTCCTCCCATCACTTTTACTGCAGCATTTTAATAAAAATGAGCCCTTGGATTTTACCCAATTACAAGTTTCCTTCGCCTATTTGCATATGGTGGTGGCAGGAGTGTCAGGAACTCTGAGCTCCCCAGATCTGCCTATAAACACTTGCGCCTCACCCCCTGAGGTGGAAAGACCTGTAACAGCCACTACTGCTGCTTCCAGACGAGGCAAGGAGCGTCAGAGTCCGGAGACCCAACTGTGGAATCTGCTTCCTTTCATCACTGCTGCTTTTATCTCGTTCTCACACTATTCACCAGGACAGGTTCAAGACAGATTTCTGAGGATTCTGAAATCCTTTTATCTTAAAATTTCTTGTCCTAGAGAACCACCCTTTCAACCTCATGAGTTTTTTACTTTGATTTACTTTCCAGGATAACACCCGTAGGAAGACCTGCCTAAATGGTAATGATATTTTAGAAAGGAAATAGCCTTTGAGTCAGACCTGAAACACAGGCCAAAATTTCTTGATGACGGTAATGGACACTGATTAACAACCAATACCAGCTCTCCAAAGCTCCAAACCACAAGCAAGAATGATTCCTGAAAGGGAGGCACTGCTAAATTCTCCTCCTGAAAAAGTCAAAAATCCTTCCACACTCTCCGGGAGGATCGCTCCCTTCCCTCGTCCCAGCAATTCGCCTCCTTTTTCACTAAAGACTCAGGTTGTGACTCCTCACTCAAGCCGCACCCCTATTTCCTTGCGGGGAGGGGGACGGGGGGGAGAAGGATGTGTTACAACTCTCATCTTTACAATGCTACGCAGTTTACAAAGCGCTTGCACTTACGTAAAACTCCTCTGAGCTCCGCGAGGGAGGGAGGCATTCATTCATTCATTCATCAAACATTCGCTCGGCCCGACCACGCGTTACCGGGCGCTGGGTCTCGCCCCACACGGCGGAAAGGGTGGGGCGCTCGCTCCCTCGAGCAGGTGCAGCGGATCAAGCTGTAAGATAACTTCTCGCTCAGCCGGGCTTTTCGAAGGCCCGTTGGGGCCAAATGCCTCACCTTCGGGTGATGCGCGCCCGAGCATGGCCGCGCGGCCTGGGCCTCCTCCTTGCTCCCCAAGGAGCAGTCACCACCTGCTCTGAAGGAAACCGCTACGGAGCAAGCTCTCTCCACGGCCCTCGGGTCAGGGGTAAGCTTAGGCGGCAGCTTAGGCTCCACGCGGCTCCTCCCCTTCCTCTCCTCAGTTCTGACGCGGCCGTAGAGGCGGCGGCAGCGGCGGCGAGTCCCGCGGCCCGAGGCGCACCCACCCGCTCGCCGAGCCCGACTTCCTCTTCCCTTGGAGCGTCATCGTGCGCGCCAGAGGCGCCCAGGGCGGGGTGGTTGGAAAGGGGAAAAAAGGCCCGCGGAGGAAGCCTCCGAGCGGAGAGAAAAGGGAGGGGGGAAGAGAGCGGTTGCTAGGTGACTTGCGTCATCGGTCCGCGCCGTTTTCCTCCCGCCCCTCTCTCTGGAGTGAGGCGAGAGCCCCGCACTGAGCGAGGGAGACAGCGAGCTGAGCTCGGGGCGCTACCGCCGTCGCCGCCGAGAGCGTGAGAGCGAGGGAGCATCCGAGAGACCCAGCGCCCTTGCACTGCCCGCCGCCGAGACCTCCGCCTTAACCTGGGCCAGAGGGAGCCGCGGCCGCCCCTCTTCTCCCCCCCTCGCCTTCCCGGCCGGCAGCGGCGGCTGCACACGCCGGAGCCCGAGCCCGAGCCGGAGCCGGCGGCTGGGGGGCAGGGAGGCGGCTACCTCGGGTCGGGACTAGTCGGCTGCTCCGCGGTGAGAGGACGCTGAGGAGGGGCCGGAGCTTCTGTCCGTTCCGGCCCGCGGGGCGAGGGACCCCCAAGGTGGAGGGAGGGGGTCCCAGCCGCAGCGACACATGCTGGAGCCGGGAGCGGGGGCGGCGCCGAGCGGAGCCGGCCGGGTCCCCCACCTTGCCACCGCCTCGGCCACCCGCCCGGGGCCGTAGCATCTTGCCCCGGAGTGTATGAGCCGGGACCCCAAGCCCGGCAACCACCCCCCAACCGGGGGGGCGGGGACCCCGATGTGAAGCGGAGGCCGGGGCGGCGGGGACAGCAGGACCGGCGCCGCCGTCCTTTCCTTCCCTGCCCCTTCCCCTCCGCCCCCTCGGGGGTCTTCTTTCTTGGCCAGTCGCCGGCCCCCCGGCTCCTCGGCAGGACTCCGGGAGGAGTTCTTAGAGCCCCCTCCCCTGCCCCAGCCCCGAGGGCGGCGGGGCCGGGGGGGACCCGGGGGGCCGGCCGCAGCCTCCGCCCAGAAGAAACTTTTCAAAAACAAAATCCGGAGCCTCCCAAACGTGACTGTCTGGGGAGAAGTGGCCCGGGACGGGCAGAAGACCCAGCCTGAAGAGACCCAGGAAGAGGAAAAGAGGAGGTAAGCGGGGCCGCCGCCTCGTCTGCTCCGGCGGCGCGGAAGAGACCCGGGTGGCCGCCGGCTTAGCGATCCCAGCCCCGCTTCTTCCTCAGTAACGCGCCGGAGCCTGCCGCAGCTGCTGCCTGAGTCCCAAGGAGGAAGGGAAGCACCCCACTCTCTCAGCGCCCGGCTCTTCTCTAAAGTGTGAGTGGCCCCGGGAAAGGGAATGGAGGGATAGAAAGGGGGAGGATGCTGGGGCGTCCGGAGTTTGCCGGTGTTTTCCAGGAGTGTTGGGAGTGTATAGACGAGAGGGGTACCTTAGTCCTCACTGCGGGGAGAGGCATCCGGCAGTCCAGTGTTTTGTAACCTTTTAGCGCTCTGTACGTGTGATACGCAAGCCCACAGGTTTCTCTTCGAGGAGTTCTGTCTTTCTCCAGGGTGGACACTTGGTATCTTTCTGGCCAGTAATTGGCAAAAGGAAATTGAGGAAGCCAGAGCCTATGTGCGCACAAGGGACATCTCTGTAATACACATTTTCCTGGTACACCCGGTGGGAAACAGCGCGGTAGTTTTTGTCTCTGGGCAACTCTTATTTGGTTCCCAAGTAGGAACCCCTGACTCTTTGAACCCCTGAAAGTAAAATTGCTTTCTTTTTTGCCAGTCTTCCTTGAGAGATTTCATTTCAGTACCTAGTGGTACAGGAATTTTTTTTTACCTTCTCATTTCCTGGGTGCAGTTCCTGCGTATCAGGAAGACACTGTAACATTTCAGTTACTCAGGAAATTCTGAGGTCTTTTGATCACAACTGATTTGGGGGAGATTATTTAGTACTTTAACCAGTTTATAAAAGGTATTAAATTTTTTCCTTACCCAAATGCTTTTTTTTTTTTTGAATAGCATATGTCCTAATTGCCAGCAGTTTTTTATTTGTTGGAATGACTTGAAGCTTTGCTTATTTGAGTTATCTCATGCTTCTCTATCAAATGAGGAGAAACTTCTGATATTTAATTCTTTGAAGAATGATGTTTTTCCTCTTCCTTTATTTTAAAGGTGAAGTCTATAAAATCTTTGATTTGTAATTTAGTTATCCCCTCAGAGTGCCAAATTAAGGTGCAGGAAAGTAATTGACATTTCATATGTTTATACAGACCTTAGGGTTAAGCATAGGGTGGAATTTTATATAACAGAACGTAGGCAGTACTAAGAATTATGGCCCCTCCAGACAACTGTGTGAGCTTACACTCTCTGAAGCCACTGCTGAGAGAAACTTTGTGGGAGTGCATGTAAGCCTGGGATTATCCATGCTAACTTTTCCATTCAGGATCTTGATTAAACTGATTTAAAACTTTCTCAAACACTTTTCATCCTGTGCTTTTTCTCTTTTGAAGAGATGAATTCTGCAAGTTTATTAGCCCCTGAATTATGTAACAGTTCATTTATTTATCCCAAACCTGTCTCTTTATAAAGTTTCAAGACACATCCCAAGTTCGTGTTTTGAGAATTGCTAGAACAAGCTGGAGTTCCTCTTTTCCTGGTTTGTAGATTTTGATTGTTCCTCTTTACTATCATCTTTCCTGACTTTTTGTCTTAGAATAATTTCTTCCATCCTTTTGATCACTTTGCCCTCCTCTGGAACTTCACCAGCTGTTTTGTTTTTCTTTATATGCCTTTTCCTTGTTATGCTTTTGTTAGGAACCTTAAATTCTACTTTAAATAAGTACTGGCATCAAAATATTGAGTAGTGGGGTTTCCCTGGTGGTGCAGTGGTTGAGAGTCTGCCTGCCGATGCAGGGGACACCGGTTCGTGCCCCGGTCCGGGCAGATCCCACCTGCCGCGGAGAGGCTGGGCCTGTGAGCTGTGGCCGCTGAGCCTGCGTGTGCTCCGCAGCGGGAGAGGCCACAGCAGTGAGTGGCCCGCGTACGCAAAAACAAAACAAAACAAAACAAAAAAAACAAATGTCTCTAGATCTGTTATTTTGTGACCTTGAGGAAGTCATGTATCCCATACTTCACAAACATAGGAGGAAGAGAAATCTAGTCTTGCATAGGCTGTTTTTTGGGAGAGGAAAAGAGGACAGACCAACAAACTAGTTTGAGTGTAGATTATACTCCATCAAAGTTGCTTACAACTTTGACTTGTATTGTTTTGACTATAGATTGGTTAAAAATCATGGTAGTGTTTTATCGTATATTTGGGTAGCAAAGAAACAACAGAACGTTTGTGGGTCCCTGCCTTTGAGATGCTTTTGCTTATGGGAGGCAGAGGCAGTGAAACACAGATTGCACAAAATTGTAGAAAAGGGGGAACAGACCAGTTTTTATCTACGACCACTATACGTCAGCAACTGTTTGGTACCTTATAGATGTAAATGTATTTGTACATTTTTGTACATTTTTGTAGATTTTTCACTAGGGAAATGTTGATGTTGGACAGAACTTATTGGAGTGTCTGAGCCAGGAGACTGTTTTTTAGGGAGAAAAGAACAGGTGGAGATAAAGTGTTTAAGACTTTTGGAATTGGAGGGGGTGAGGGACAAATGTAATTAGGAAGTTAGCTTATGGGAATACAGAGGGAGATTGTTGAGTAGGCTTAGGGCCAATTTGTGTTTGTGTGGATACATGTTTACAGCCCAAAGAATGAATTGAGAACAATGTTTCTGAGAGGGTAGTTTTAGACCACTGAGAAGAAATCGTATTTTAAGCCAAGAGGCATTATACCTGGATTAGGATTTTGTTTTTCTAGAGAACTAACATTTTTACACCACAGTCATTGAAGAGCTGTACAGATGGAGGGGTGAAAAAGAAGGTGCTTCCAGTATGTTAGTATGGTGCTAGTGGTTTCTTATAAAAAGTAATTCAGAAATGAGGCAGTGGACTTTGGACATTAAATTTTAGGGTTGAAGTTGGATACCAATGCAATCTTAAGACAGTAAAATAATGAGTGATATGCTGAAAATGTAGAATTGGGAGTCATTATAAAAGTACTAAGATTTCTCTATAGTGCTGATGGAGAGTAGAGAGCTGAAAAATGGGTATTTGGGGGGAGGGGAATGTGTTAAAGTTAGCAAAGATACAGGAAGAGGAGAATGGATGAGACTCTACTGTTTTAAAAGTGAATAAGGGTTGAAATTGAAAAAGGAGGAACAACCTTTAAACATGGGCACCAGTTCAGTCTTAGGGCAGATGATTATTTTTGAAATACTAACAAGCTTTTTGTAAGGTATATAGGTCCCTTGAGATTGTTTAGAAGAATATATAAGATTTCAGTGTTAAGGAACTTATACATAAAAGGACAGATCTGTTTCATCAAATTCATGTTTTTAAAGTTTGCCTTTCATTATTATCCTAAGTTTGGTCTCTAACATGACGAAGTGGGGCTAAAAATAGCTGGCAAAGAACGCTGCTTCCCCTGCTCACAGTTGGTGTGTGTCTTTGTGTCCCACACAATGGAGGGGATATCCCTGTGTTGGCACAGCAGTGCTGAAAATGCCTTAAAAAAATCTTTTTATTAAAAAACAAACAAAAACCAACTTGGCACTTAAAAAAATTCAGACATCTTCGAAGCATTTATGGACACTGGAAGACTGATTTTTAAAAAAATTAAAATTTAAAATTTTTATGGTGAAACTTGCATTTAGTGTTGACACTAACAAGGATTAAGGATTGTGAGGTAGGGAATATGTATATCCACACTTTTTTGTGTTCCTTAGTTCCAATACACCTTCTTAGTAGCCTGTTTGGCCTCTTCTTAAGAGTGATAATTCAAATGGCAGGACCTTCTGGGCCATAGCTATTTAGACAGGGAGCTAGATCTATGGTGGTTCTAGGATCTGGAATATATGCCATATGAATGCCTTCTCTCCTCACCCTCTGTTTTCCACAACAGTTTTTATGCAGGCGAAATCATGTTTCGATGAACTTTAAAGGGCAGCCTTTTGGGGTTAACATGATTTACTAGTGAAGACAAGTGGGGAAGGTGGGACCCTGGTAGTAGGGAGTGATCACCTCGTGTGCTCTGCCTTGGCAACTTTGGGACTGATATGGGATGATTAAAGAGCCTTGAGGGTGTGTGTTTGTGTTTGTGTGTTTTATCACCGGATGATCCCAAAGCCCACACCTAGGCTAGCAGCAGCCCAATTCGTGTACTTGGAGATGGTTTTTGAAGTCTTGTGTTGCCTCCGGCATCTCATTGTGTAGAGGAGGGGTTGGCATACTTTTTTTTGGTGAAGGGCCAGTTATTGAATAGTAAATAGTTTAGATTTTGTGGACCATATGGTCTGTGTCACAACAGTGCAGTTCTGCTCTTGAAGTGCTCTTGAACGCCACAGGCAATATGTAAGTGAATGAATGTGAATGTGTTCTAATAAACCCTTATACATAAAAACAGGAGGTAGGTTGGGTTTGGCTCGTTGTTTATGGATCCCTGGTATAGAACACTGACTACCAAGTCCACCAACATGCAGTATGAGCTTCATTCCACTACAAAGCTGGGACTGGCTCTTTTAGCTGGTCTCTGTTTTCTAAATGAGATGTGTTCCTTGGAGGCAGTCTTAAAATGATTCTGCGTAAAGCACAGAGTCTACTGTTCAAGGTACTTTTGCCTCCACAGTAATGAAAACTATGGACTGAGGAGCAGGGGCAATGCCATCTATAAAATGATGAAGCTAAAAAGTAGGACTACTTGTATTTCTTATTCAAAGATACCATACCATATAAGATACCATATAGTGATATACTGGCCGTGTATCATGGCCGGAAGTATCTTTGAAGAAACTTGTGAGTATAATTTTGAAAGGCTCTGAAAATAAGTTGTAAAGCATTTACTTTAGATGTAAAATTAGAAGTATTGATGGTTTGTTTGAATCAGATGAAAATATTTGTCAAACTATAAGAATATTAAGGTTTGATACTTCTGTTTCTTAAAGCTTTGATCTTTTGCAATGACCAATTCATTGTGTAGAATTATTGGCTCTACAATTTTTGTTTTGTTAATTTCAAGTATTATAGCTTACCAGATCACTTAAATCATTTAACTTTGTACTTTAAAAAGTTTTGCTGTGTTCTTAGGGGTAAATGTAGCGTGGGTTAATAGATTCACCCAAAAAATAAATCTCAGATGTGTTGTTTAGAAAGGATAATTCACTTTGTGCAATTTTACATCACAGCTAATATCAAAACATCTCTTTGATATGTCAACATTGGAC